AAACATATCCCACAGTACCCTAAAAGGTGCACACCATAGAGTTTTCTTAGAATCTAATCTTATTATGCTATATTTTATCCATTTATAAAATATATACTTACCAAACAAAAATCTAGAATTATAATACTGAAATTTAACAAGTTTTATTATGGTATCACTTTAAACATTACTCTTCTCACTTATTTAGTTAGTAGTATTGATATTATAAATGTCATAACTAAATCATTTTTGTCATAATTATAAATAATAATAAAAAAATACAATGGGTCATAACTAAAAAAAAAAATTGGTAATAACCACAATATATGATAACTAATATCACAATAAGTCATAATTAAATCACAACTCAAAGTTATAACCAAACACTACTTGATGTATTACCAAAACAAAAATCACAAGAAATTATAACTAATACCACAATTAATCATAATTAAGTCATAACTAATATTTCAGTAAGTTATAATCAAAGACTATAAAAATTATAATTGAATATATTATGTGGGGATGTATTTTCTGAATACCAACACGTGGCAAGGTGACGCCGACGTGTCAGCCGAAGTGCCACGTGTCCTGGTTGTGACGCCGAGGTTATCTCGGCGAGGCCGAGGTTATCTCCTAAGATATCGGAATCCGAGATAAGCGGATAATGGATAAGGGGCAAGAGTCCTAGAGTAAAGAGAAGACTTTGCTAAGATAAGGATAAAGCCCTTAGGGAGTTTATCTTTATCTCTTGAGAAATCCAAAGTAAGTGCAGAATTAGAGTCCATAGAAGTCAAGCTTCTAGTGGGACTAAGATTGAGTAAACTATAAAAAAGAGGCACCCTCGTAGGTCTAAGGTACGCAGTTTTATACTTTGAGTAGTGAGTTTAGCACTTGATTATCTTTGAGAGATATACTGACTTGATCGTCGGAGTGCCCCCGGGTGGAAAAGCCACCGCCGGAGCCTTTTCTTTCTGTTACAGGTTTGCTGAAGCCATCTATTCTGCTGGTGCTCTCCAGCTGATTACTAGGCAGGCAGTGTGGTCAGAAAATCACATACACAATTTGGCGCCGTCTGTGGGAATCTTAGAAGAATAGATGGCCAGTAACGGAGAGAAGGAAAATATTGGGGGCGACACTCCTGCTAGGAGTGGTAGACCAATTGACCTTGACGTTGAAGGAGACAACCATAATGCAGAAACTCATGACCAAGGCCACGGTGAAAAAGACGTCGGCCAGGAGGGTGATACTTTGAAGAGACAGAACTAAGGGCTACACAAGCAGTAACAACCGTGTTCCGGATCCCAATTCCCAAAGTCCTGGAACAAATTCGAAACCAGCCCTATTTCAAAACGCCGAAAAGGACTCCAGGAGAGTTCATGGGAAGAAACATTGGTAGGCATTGTGCTTACCACAATACAGATGGACATACGACTCAGGGTTGCAGAACCCTAAAAACATATTTGGAAGACCTAGTAAGGCAAGGCCATCTGAGGAACCTCGTCGACAAAGCCAGGACAAGAGAAGAGCAGGCAAGATTGCCTCAACCACCAGCGGCCCCGCCTCCCCCAGCACAGCAACCACAAGGAGGGGGACCTAGGGTGGTTAATGTAATTCACTTAAAAGTGAACGAAAACGACATTCGGGGAGAAACCCAAAGAGTAAAACACCTGCAGCACGTGAACCAGGTCGGACATAAAAGACCTCGGCCTGAAGAGTGCCAAGGACCGATGATAGCCTTCACTGAAGCTGACCTAGAGATGGTCCAGCATCCGCATAATGATGCCTTCGTAGTATCCCTCCAGGTTGGGGAGTGTCAAGTGAAACGCATCCTAATAGATCAAGGCAGCTCTTGTGACATCATGTACGTTAGATGTTACAAGGAGCTCGGCCTTCACCCAGACGACATGGAGCAATCGAATGGCCCGATGGTCGGCTTCAATAGAACGCCGATGTGGCCACTAGGCGCAACAAGCTTGGAAGTACAAGCTGGCACTAAGAAGATCAGGACAGAATTCACCGTCATCAACACACCCTCCCCTTACAACATCATCATGGGAAGACCATGGTTGCATGCGATGGGGGCAGTTCCCTCAACATTGCATCAACTGTTGCGATTCCCAATAGAGCATGGGATAGATTAAGTCAGGGGTGATCAGCTACAGGCAAAAAGTTGCTCCATGGCAGCAATGAAGTCTACTTGCAGCATTCAAGAGCTAGAGAAGGCAGAAATTGAAGAAGAGGATATGGAAGTCCTAGAAGACGTCAGCAAAGAACCAGCCGAGAAGAGCGAAGAGGCACTAAAGAAAATCCTCGTCCAAGATAGGGATGAAGAACTTTTGTGCAAAATTCAAGATCAAGAACTACTTCCCAACACCAAGTTTTCCCCAAAGTAATGAGCAAGCAAAGGCATCCAACAAAATAATCTTGGATAGAATAAAGAAGAGGCTACAGGCAGCAAAAAGAAAATGGGTAGACGAACTGCCCAAATATACTCTGGGCATATCGGACTACGCCGAGAAGATCAACTGGGGAAACCCCTTTGAAATTTTTCTATCATTAGAATTCTTTTGTTCTTTAGCCATTTGCTGAAATAAATAAATAAAGATTCAGTACTGTTTTCAAAATACTTGACATTGTCTCTAGAATACATGTATAATGCGAACCCAAGTGAAACTCAGGCTCACATTAGGGGACAGAGGGAAGAGAAAAATATTGCTTAACACTTGTTGAAATTTGTGGACAATTTACAAGTTAAGTTAAGCCGAGATCATTGTTTACCACTTGTTGAAATTTGTGGACAATTTACAAGTTGATTAAACCGAAAAATATTGCTTAACACTTGTTCAAATTTGTGAACAATTTACAAGTTAAGTTAAGCCGAGATCATTGTTTACCACTTGTTGAAATTTGTGGACAATTTACAAGTTGGTTAAACCGAAAAGTATTACTTAACACTTGTTAAAATTTGTGGACAATTTACAAGCTAAGTTAAGCCGAGATCATTGTTTAACACTTGTTGAAATTTGTGGACAATTTACAAGTTAAGTTAAGCTGAGATCATTGTTTAACACTTGTTGAAATTTATGGACAATTTACAAGTTGGTTAAACTAAAGAGTATTGCTTAAACACTTCTTAAAATTTGTAGCAATTTACAAGTTGAAATTAAGCTGAGGTGGTTCTTTATCTTCACTTGTTGAAATTCGTAGCAATTTACAAGTTGAAGTTAAGCTGAGATTATTCCTTATCTTCACTTGTTAAAATTTGTAGCAATTTACAAGTTGAAGTTAAGCCAAGATTATTGTTTCTCTTCGCTTGTTTAAATTCGTAGCAATTTACGAGTTAAAGCAAAGCCGAGGTTATTGCTAAACACTTGTAGCAATCTACAGGTTGGATAAACCAGAGAAGATGCTTAACACTTGTTGAAATTTGTAGCAATTTACAAGATAACGTTGAGCCGACATATAATCATCTGTTGAAATTTGTAGCAATTTACAGGTTGGGGAAAAAGCTAAGTATATTGTTTAAACACTTGTTGAAATTCGTAGCAATTTACAAATAGATTATTGTTTAACACTTGTTATGTTAATCCTTGTTGATCCCTGTTACAGTATATGTTAATCCTTGTTGAAATTTGTAGCAATTTACAAGTTGAAGAAACAAAACTACTCGACATCAATGGCAGGATATAGAAGACAGTTGGGAAGACTTCTCAGCAGCCTTCTCGACCTCGAGCTCAGCATCGATTTCCAGAAAGAGTTTGATCAAGGCTCTTCTCGGCAATTGGCACCTCGGAGTTTGAAGGCAATGATTGAAAGCAAGAATCTGGAAAAAAACACAGAAAACATAAACAAGAATGTAATTCGTAATCAAGAATGGTGATAAAGCTATCAGGAAATCGAGACAAAAAGATTGCACAGGTGTGTCAAGCCAAGAACAGTGGCAGAAATCAACGCACTCAGATGTATGATCTACAAATTGATTACTTAAGTAAAGAGTAGTAAACAAGAAATTCCAGGAAAGATCAAGAACTGGAATAGAAAGAAACAGATGCTTACCAAAAAAAGGGAGGCCGGAAAGGGATTTGCCGACGTCCTACGACGGTTGCAAGAGCAGAAGACCGGTGGAAATCTCGCCGGAAAGGGTGAACGGAGAAGGATGCAAAGCTTTGGAAGCCTAAACAATGGCAGATTTGAAAGAAAAAGTTTTAGAGAGAGAAAAAACAAGAGAACTCAGGTGCAAAAGTGAAGAGACGAAAGAAATGGGGAAAAATTTTGTCAAAAAATGAAAACGGCGGCAAAAGCAATCAATACGCCTAAAAGAGCGCATACGTCAGACGGCGCATGTGAAGAAGAGATGACTTATGGGCGCGTCACAGGCACGAGCTAGTAAGAAAGAAACGCGTGTCTAAAACGGTTGAATTGAAGTGCATGACAGCTCATGTGCGTAAAAAGTTCCTTAAAAATCTTTGATTTTTTAGGGAAAGCATGTCGGCCAGAAATGAATGATCTTGGCTGTCAAATCTTAAGCCGATTTACTGGAAGAAAATACAGATATAGGTTCCATCACCTTAGAATGCTGAGGTAATAGAACCTAGGGGACAGTTGTGGGAATGTATTTTCTGAATACTAACACATGGCAAGGTGATGTCGACATGTCAGCCGAAGTGCCACGTGTCCTGGTTGTGACGCCGAGGTTATCTCGGCGAGGCCGAGGTTATCTCCTAAGATATCGGAATCCGAGATAAGCGGATAATGGATAAGGGGCAAGAGTCCTAGAGTAAAGAGAAGACTTTGCTAAGATAAGGATAAAGCTCTTAGAGAGTTTATTTTTATCTCTTGAGAAATCCAAAGTAAGTACAGAATTGGAGTCCATAGAAGTCAAGCTTCTAGTGGGACTAGGATTGAGTAAACTATAAAAAAGAGGCACCCCCGTGGGTCTAAGGTACGCAGTTTTATACTTTGAGTAGTGAGTTTAGCACTTGATTATCTTTGAGAGATATACTGACTTGATCGTCGGAGTGCCCCCGGGTGGAAGAGCCACCGCCGGAGCCTTTTCTTTCTGTTACAGGTTTGCTGAAACTATCTGTTCTGCCGGTGCTCTCCAGCTGATTACTAGGCGGGCAGTGTGGTCAGAAAATCACACACACATATTATATACACACTTGTTTTTTAGGCGTGGATTATAAAATTTCTCAAAAGAAAACTATTAAAAACTGTATGATATACAAATAAAAAATGTTCGAGACTCCTAAGTTTTTTTCACAATTCTACTTATAATGACATATCAAGTTTTAATTTATTATATATTTTATCATTGAGGGCTTAATCCCCTTAAGACATTTATATAAGTCAAAAGTTTAAGTCTCTACCATTATTGTTTACAAATTTACTATCATACTTATCCAATGTTCTTAAGTTCTAAGTTCAAGTTCCAGTTCAAGTTCAAGCTAGTCTTTATGTGGATATGGGTGTTAAAACAGTTCTAAACCTAAAACTTCACAGAGCTACCTTTGCAATGAAAATCCAATGAGGAAGTCAGTCAAAGTGAAGCGAACGTGTTAGCGCACATGCACAGCCAAATCTCAAAGCTAGTTGCAGATGGACTCTACAGAGAAGCACTCTGTTTCTATACAAAACACCACTCTCTCTCTCTCTCTCCCAACAAATTCACATTCCCTCTTCTCTTCAAAGCCTGTGGCAAGCTCAAATCTTCCACCCATGCCCAAATGCTTCATACCCATCTCATAAAAACAGGTTTTGGCACTGACATATATGCATCTACAGCACTTACAGATATGTACATGAAACTCCACCTCCTATTCGATGCTCTCAAAGTGTTCGACGAAATGCCTGACCCAAAGTTGTCTTTGTTCAATGCTACAATTTCTGGGTTCTCGAGAAACGGGTATAACAGTGAAGCACTGAGAATGTTTAGGCAGGTTGGTTTGGGAAAGTTGAGGCCTAACTCTGTCACTATTGCTAGTTTGTTGTCGTCGTGTGAAGTTTTAGCAGATGGGCTTCAAGTACATTGCTGGGCGGTTAAATTAGGTGTTGAGACCGAAGTTTATGTGGGAACGTCGCTTATAACTATGTATTCGGGTTGTGCAGAGTTGGTTTCCGCAACGAAGGTGTTTGAAACGATTTTGGATAGGAATGTGGTGAGTTACAATGCTTATATTTCAGGGCTTCTGCAAAATGGGGTTTTTCGTGTAGTTTTGGATGTTTTCAAGGACATGAAGGGATGTTCTATTGAATTACCCAATTCAGTGACTGTGGTTTCTGTTCTCTCGGCATGTTCAAGCCTTCTATATCTTCGATTCGGTAGGCAAGTTCATGGACTTGTTATGAAAACCGACATTGTCTTTGATACAATGGTGGGAACTGCATTAGTTGACATGTATTCCAAATGTAGTCAGTGGAAATGGGCTTATGATATATTCCAAGAACTAAATAGAAATAGGAACTTGATTACTTGGAACTCGATGATTGCGGGTATGATGTTGAATGGTCAGACTGAGAATGCAATCGAGCTTTTCACGCAGTTGAAATCTGAAGGACTGAAGCCGGATTCGGCAACATGGAATTCAATGATTAGTGGGTTTATGCAAGTCGGGGAGGGTTGGAATGCCTTTATCTTCTTCAAAAAGATGCAATCGGTTGGCATAATGCCAAGTTTGAAGTCTATTACAAGTCTTTTACCCATTTGTGCAGCTCTCTCTGCTCTGCGGTCTGGGAAGGAGATTCATGGACACACTATTAGAACTGATATCTGTACTGACGAATTCATATGTACCTCACTCATTGACATGTACATGAAATGTGGGTTGTCTTCTTGGGCACAGAGAACTTTCAATCAGTTTGTAATAAAGACCAATGATCCAGTCATTTGGAATGCAATGATTTCTGGGTATGGAAAGAATGGGGAGACTGAATTGGCATTCAAAATTTTTTATCAGATGGTAGAAGAGAAAGTAATACCAAATGTGGCAACTTTCAACTGCATTCTCTCTATGTGCAGTCACGCTGGTCTAGTTGAGAAAGGATGGCAAATCTTTAGGATGATGAACCAAAATTATGGCTTAAGCCCTACCCCCGAACATTTTAATTGTATTGTCGACCTCTTGGGCCGATCTGGATGGCTAGATGAAGCTCGAGAAGTATTACAAGAAATACCCAATCCTTCTGCTTCTGTTATTGCCTCTTTAGTCAATGCTTCTATATGTCATTCAGATTTCAAGCTAGGAGAAGAAATGGCTAAAATGCTTTCAGAATTAGAGCCACAAAACCCAACTCCATTTGTGATTCTGTCGAATATATATGCAGAGCAGGGAAGGTGGAGGGATGCTGAGAGGGTTAGAAAGATGATGAATGACAGAGGACTGAAAAAACTCCCAGGGTTAAGTTCAATTGGAGTGTCATAAAGAACTACATGTACATCATGCACTGATAGAGCAAACCAGACCTTGTTACATGTCTTCATCACATGAACCTAAGCGATACAAATTTCAACTACAGAAGTGTTACTCATTGAACATTTCTTGCATTGCAAATCCAAAGTAATTATCCAAATGATTAGGGGGTTCATCGATGAAGCAAGAAATAACATCTCTAAGAGTAATCACGCCAACAACACCATGGTCTTCTCCTTCTACGACATATATCCTGTGAACCGAATTCGAAGAAAGACTGTGGATCACAGCACCAAGAGTTGAATCTGGCTTGCATGTTAATGCTGTGACAACCTTTCCAGTATCATCACTTGTTGCAGTGATAGTGTTCATGAAATCCATCACGGTTAGATGCCTGAAATAATCAGAGTTGAATATATTTAGATCATCACATATTTTCGTCAACAAGGGAAAAAGGTAATGGTTTCAGGTGAGTGATCAATTTGACTCTTTTGCATACATCTCCAATATATCTGACGATTGTTCAGAAATGACAACTAAGTTTGATGATTTTAGATTGTTATGCATTGTTGGCAATATATATTTTTTTCCATACATGGGTCATAGCTATAAACATTAAGATTCCAGGTTGCAAATATCAGATTACAATTGAAGAAATGTAAGTCCAAGAAACACACAGAAAATGTGCAACTGCCAAGGTGATGCAGTTGCAAATTCAAAATTTTCCTTTACCTAAAGTTGGAGAAAAGCTCGGGTTTAAGCAACAAGTATCTGATGTCTCTAATGCTCACATTCCCGATGATCTTCTTGTTTGGACCGTCGACAACTGGAAGGCCTCCAATTTGGTTATCTTTCATTCTCTTGAAAGCTTCAAGGATCAGTTCATTGCTCTGTATGCTAATAACCTGACAAACACATGAAAACCCTCTTGTAAGTAACTCTACATTCACAGCCCACCAAAAGTAGTCACAGAAACCTCACCTCATCACTTGACATGAAAGGAAGTCCCAGATCACATATTGAATGCGTAGAAATGCAATCAAACCAATCCCTTCCTTTGCATCCCTCAAGACCATGAATAACCGCAGATTGAGTGATGAAGTTCTTAATAAAAGGCTGGCCTTGTTCTATTACTGGTACGTTCCTCAGCCTATATTTTGACAGGAGCAATAAGACGCTCAACATAGAACTATCGGTTGCAACCGGAAGGAAAGGCGCCCAACGGTAGGATTTAAGTATTGAACTCACCTGAAACAAGAAATGACAAGAAAAGCCCGCTGCATCAGCAAACCAGAGGTAACCAGATTAAACAGAAAACCTATTTGCATTCTTACACTCCATTTGTGTCAGTGCATTTTCTGGCATTCGATAAAACGCAAAATGAAAGTCAATGGAAAATGTTTTTGTTTTCCTTGATCAATGGAAAAAAAGACTGTTTGGGTTGGAAATGTTTTCCACTTTTAAAAACTAAAAAACGTTTTGCAGACTAGAGTCTTTACCAATGCCACCACCGCCATCACTACCATGCCACCACCGTTGTACCTACAGGCTACAGCCCACCACCTCCACCTCTGCCCTGCCTCCACCAACACCACCACTTATACAACCATTAATATATTAGTTTTAAGGATGCAACGAATTATAGAAAAAACAGTCTCTTCTAAAAATATTTTCTGGAAAAAGTTATTTTAGGAGCCGAAACAAATGGGGGTTAGACTTACTGTGGTTGACTTGAAAGGTTCTTCTTGAAGGATGACTTTGTAGAAGTCCTCGCCCAAATTATCAGCTGCAGTGGGAGCATCCTTCCCGATTCCTCTGTCAGCAGCCACACCACCCACCACAGCTGCACCAACTGCGGCCACAGTCAACCCAGCAATGGTAGTAGGCCCCGTTGCACCGAATGCCACTGCTCCGAGAGCCCCAACAGCACCAACACCTACCCCAGCAGCGGTGGCAGAGCTGGCTGACAAGGCAACCGCTGCAAGCTCTGCACTCTCTAACACCCATAGCACAATCGCTGAGTAATCTATGACTCCAATGTACCTCTCTCTCCAATCCATACTATATCCAGCATCAGGTTTTCTCACTGGAGCTGACAAGATGTTGGATTCGGATAAAATCTTGACTGCATCACTAATGGACGTGTCCGCTAGAATTTCAATCACTGCAAGAGAAATGTTGAGGCACAATTTTAATATGTCGGATGTAAAAATAATTACATGTAGTTTGTGATCTGATAAATTGTACTGTCATTACCTTTGCCTCCCGGAACTTCTGGGAAGGATGAAACTGGAATTCTTGCGAATGCCGCTGTCAAAGTCTCTTGTAACGAACGTGACAATTTCTTCCTGCTCTGGACAGTCTCAAAGTAAGCATCATAGCTTGAAAGTTTTGAACTACCCTTTGGTGTTTCTGTTTGTGCCATACCTACATGTAATATTCAACCCATTTAATGAAACTCTCAATGAAGCTATTCTAGTTTTTTATAATTATTATTTTTTAAATTTCAACTACAGAGTCATACAATATCACAAACCCTCCAGTTTGTGAGCGGTGTGGCTCATCCCTTTGGATAGGGATCAGTCATAAACAGTGACTTGAATAAGGAGATTCTATTAATCACTAATGCCAAGCCAAAGATCTTTAAAAATGCACCTAATTTCACATTTTTGGCAACCACTGTTAAAAGGAAAATGATTTGCAACATAAATTTTGTACAAGAAACACATTCAGAATGACGTGTCAAATGACATTGTAAAATGAGGGACCAGAAGAAGCTACTTCATAAAAGTTTTATACAAAAATTCAATTTATATATCATTTTTATTTTTTGATAAAGGAATGCATAAAAGATTACATCATAAAAGATTACTACAACGGGAATCGAACCTAAGCCTTAAAGGCGAAGAGTCCGATCACTCAACCAACCTCTGTTGGCAATGTATCATGAATAGTATGCGGACCATCCCGTAGTACAAAGCAGATAATGGTCCTGTTTGGTAGAATTTATTTCTACTTTATTTCAGTTTTTAATTTAATTTAAGCTATTTTAATGTGTTTGGTTCAGCTTAACAATACAACTTATAGATTTTTGTAAGTCAAAAATCAACTTATTCTTTGAGTGGGGGAGGAGAAGCTTAATTTATAAATCAAAAAATTATAAGCTGTTAGGTTATAAGTTATAATCACTTTCCCAGAGCTCTGCCAAACGGGGTGAATATCTTGGTGTGTACTACGACAGTGGAGTGATTCGCACAAACGACGTTGTCTATGGAATACCTAGCTGCACCACATGAGCTCATATGCATGGAACTAATGTGGGGGGTTCGAATCCGTCCCACAAATAGTGATCAACATCAACTTGTGACATACAAGATCATCCTATTCCAATATGCGAGGAAGACAACATAATGAAATTCTAAAACCAATTTGGGTGATTTCATACCATGATTGATTGTGATATATAGGAGGAATATATATACAAAGAAAGGCAAGAAAAGAAACATAAAATAGTGACATAAGAGGGTGGTGGTTCAGAAGAAGAGCTTAGCTTGCCTGTTTTTGAGAGTCCCTTCCTGGGCTTCGTAGATCAAAAGTGGGTGTTTCTGTGTTTTTTTTCGCCGAAACCCAAAATGATTTCTTTCTCTCTGTGTCTCTCGCTGTGTTCACACACTCGTTCCTAAAATTAGTTACTGCTGCTTATATGCATGAGCTCGTTGTCTGACACGTGTATGGATATGACACGTGTCAGAGGATGAGGATAAGTGTGAAGCACGTTTTTTGATCTTTAAGATATTGAAAATATGACCAATTATATTAGTCCTTATATTTTTATTATTATATTATTTTGGTCTATACAATTTTAAGGATGTGGCTTCCTTCAGCTTTTCATTGGGTTGGAGGATATTATTGGATTTGTGGGTCCATCATAGATTCCATTTCGATATTCTGAACTGATTAATGTGTAGAATTTATTGTGTATTATATTACGTTGATCGGATATCGATAATTATGTGATCAAATCAGATTTTTTAAGCCGTTTATTTTTCACCGTCTATTTTTTTTTCATATAAAACTGATTTGATCACATAATTATCGATATCCGATCAACGTGATTTTAATAATTATATAGTGCTCGATGGGTTCTACATATTTAACGTTCAGATTATTGAAATGAGACCCGTGGTAAGCCCCCACGGGCAAGGCAGAGGCACACGAGGCCTAGAGTGGTCACGTGCCCCCTCAACTTTTAAAAAATTATTCTTTTGCCTCCAATAAAAATATATATTTCAATTTAATGCAAGTAATATCTTGAAGTTTTTATATTACTATTTTCTTTACCTTTTTTTATAAAAAAATGTTTAATTTATCACTTTAAATATTTAATTATGCTAAAAAACATTTTTATAAATTTTATAGTAGAGAAATGTTATATATGACTGATATTTTGTCACTGTTTTATATCATCTCTTATACGACACATAATTATTACACAATTAATGACAATTAATAATATGTTGCCATGTAATTCAATTATTCAAAACGGTGAAAAAAACAAGTAATATATAATAGTCTATGTATATTATTTATTCATCTTTTTCTCATTTCTTTCTCTATCCTCACTCTATCTCTTTATGTGTGTGTATCTTAATATAATTTTGTTCTTACATTTTATGAGAGTATATGTAATTATTTTTTAAACTGTGATGATCATCATATATAAGATAAATTAATAACAATAAAGATAATGATTAGTTAACTTGATCTTATATTTAAATATAACTTTTGTATCGCACTAATTTTTTGTCCTACCATCAAATAAAAATTAAGTTAAATTATAATTTTTGTTAAGATTTTAATTCAAAGGTGTGTGGGTGATTTTCCGACCACACTGCCCGCTTAGTAATCAGCTGGAGAGCACTGGCAGAATAGATGGCACCTGACTGACCTGCAACAGAAATATAAGAATCCCGCGGTGGTTTCGACCACCCGGGGGCACTCCGACGATCAAGTCAGTATATCTCTCAAAGATAAATCAAGTACTAAACTCACAAGCTTGTGTATCAAAAGCATACCTTATACCCATGAGGGTGCCTCTCTTTTATAGCCAATACAATCCTAGTCCCAATAGGAGCCTGGCCCTAATGGACTTAGGATTACTGCTAATCTGGGACTCCCAGTGGGATTAGGATAAACTCTCTAAGAGTCTTATCTTTACCCAAACTGAAGTCTTCTCCCAATCTAGGACTCTTGTTCATATCTAAGTTGAGTTCCCTCTTCATTCTAGGACTCTTGTCCCTTATCCGCTTATCTCGGATTCCGATATCTTCGGAGGCAACCTCGGCCTAGCCGAGATGACCTCGGCACAACGACCAAGACATGTGGCACCTCGGCTGACACGTCGACGTCGCCTTGCCACGTGCTGGTACTCAGAAAATATATCCCCACAAAAGGTATCCCTTCTAAGCCAAAATCCTAGCTCCGCCACTACCCACGGGCCCAACAGTATCTTCCAATCCAATGAACGACTAGAGGGAAGCCTCATCCTAATTTTAATTGACTTGATTTTAATATTAAATTTATGATTTGATCTTAATTTAGTTCAATTGATTATAATTATTAGTGTTTTTTTTAATGAAAAATACATATATAAATGATCTTTGTTATGTTTTTATAAATAAAATTGTATATTTATTCAATTAATTCAGTAACTATTTTTTTTAAAAAAAATCTTAATCGACGTTTTTAATTGAATTAAATTGATATAAAATCTAAAATTAAGAGTCAAAGTTAAATTAATTGAAGAATGCTCATAACTGTGTTGGCTCTGTTTAATATGGTTTTCAGAATATCTTTTCAAATTTTTTTTCCAAAAATCTAGAAGTTAATTTGGTGAAAAAAATGAAAACAATAAAAAATACTCATCATTTTTATATAATTTTATCTTTTGGCATGGCAAAAATAATCTTTAAAATTTTATAAATGTTTTTTAAATAATTATTTTTGTCAAACTAGTTTCTTGTTTTTTTAATATTCAAAAAAACTATTTCTAAAAATCAATCCAAACAGAGTCATTTATTTTTATGTACAATAAATTACACATGACCTACCTTGATATTTGAAAAAAATATACTACAAGTCTCACAATTTTTATATAGTTACATTAATGTTTCTTTTAGTAATGCTAAATAGATTAAGACTAACACAGATTGAGTGAAGACAAGGTAATATAAATTCATTTATATAATTAACAAATTACTGATAAAAATGATTTAACTGTGATATGATTTAAAATGTTAAGATACAATTAGGTTAACTTTATAATTATATTTTTTCTTGACCTTAATGTTTGGTTGAGGGATTTGGGGAGAGATTTGAAAAGGGAAAGGGAAAGGATGTGTGAAACTATGTGAAATATAGGCATGATTTATTCACATTTCACCTACCTTTTCCATTTCCCTTTCCAAATCTCTCTCCAAATCCTCCAACCAAACACAGCATAAGGAGGTCAATGTTTTACATATTAGGTAAAGAATGAATGTTAATTTTGAGAGTAATGGTCATTCTTAATAGCCATTTTTAATAGAGTCAATTTTATTTTTTCAAAAATGAAAAATATTAATGCTACTTGTTTTGTGAAATTATTAAGAATGCTCATACACTCTATGTATGAATTTATTTATTTTAATTTTTTTCCTATATTTAAGAGAAAAAAAAAACTAAAAATTCAATTCTAGAGACGAAAGCAAGTAGACTTTCATTGTATTAGCTTTTTTCGGAAGATTGATGTGTTCAGTCCTTCTAATCAGTACGACCTTTTTGTAAAATTTCGGCCCATAATTGTGGCTGGCCTAAACCCAACATAGGGCCAGGCCCACCCAAATTAAACCTTTCCAGTTAAGGTCTAGAGACCGCCCCGATTGGTTTAGGCTAAATTGTTATTATTATTATTTTAATAAAAAATTAAAATTAGAAAAGGGTTTAACAAAAGGGTATGTTAGGGAACTCAAATTTTTTATCAAATAAATGGCCAAATGTCTCATATAAGTGTAGAATTCGCAATTTTTTATTGCTAGAAATCAAGCATGGTTGGAGTTGTAAAAATTGATTAAGCCCAGCCGAAGGGCTCGATTTAAATCTAACCCAACACAATAAAAAATTTGTTTCTTACATTTCTCTTACTGTTTTCTAGTGGAAATAAATTAATAATATTATTCACAGCCCTCTTGTGGATATGATAAAAAGAGTGAGAATCTAAAAATGAAATGTAAATATTGTTTTTTTTTATCTTTTTTATTAAATGGTATATGTTGAAGCATACTACTATTGACACTGGCATCAACTAATTTGAAAATTTAACAAGGCCAAGCTTTGTAGACCTGCATTATAAGCCAAAACTCAAAAAATGTGGCATTGTCTTAGTATAAAAGGTGACAACTATCCTAACGACCTAACGACCTAATTTGTTTTCTTTTTTTCTTTTGTTTTTTTGTTTTTATATATAAAAAAACGTTTATCATTTGACTTGGCTAGGAAACAGTTAATCACAGTTAGTAATGGAGACATGTCTATTTCACCGAAACTCTCTCCGAGACTTGGCACATCCAACTCTATCATGTTGACTAAATAAAAAAAAAAAAAGAAAAAAAAACACAAATATTTTATATTTTTCCACTTATTTTGAAAGACTTTTTATGTTGTTTGGCGGCTATTTTATCCTTGAATTAATTTTTAAGGACTAAAAATTTAGTATAATGGTGATATCACATCATTATTGACACATGACATTCTCAATTAAAAATAAAATGACATATGAGATAGTTAACTCAGCTATTTAGATATAACTGCATGTTTTTAGATAATTTTATAACCGTTATATAGAATGGGATTTATTATACACACATGATAATTTGTTATTCGATGGTGATTAAACATGTCAGTGATAACGTGACATCATTATATTGGGTTTTTTAGGTTTTGGTTTCAATTTTAAAGAAATGAAGCTAACTTTGAAAACAAAACAAAATATCAAACAAGATCTCCAGTTTGAAAACATGATTCAAATGAAGAAAAATACCATATCATTGAATCATAAAAAATATGGCCAATTATTTGTTGGTGTCTTGTTGCACACAAATTTCACTCTATAAGTTGGGGTTCCAAGCAAAAGGTCCCCAAATGTTGAATGAAAAATAGAGCCACACCAATTCAACCATGATGGGTTTAGGATTTTCAAGACTTAGGCAAAGGGGATCCCTGGAGGAATGCTCGGAAAAGTGTGAGAGCTTGAGCGGGGGACGTGAAGGGCACTTCATGTGCTGCTCCTCAAACTGTTGCAAATGTCAAATAGGTAACATTTTGAATAAATATAAGATATTAAAATGGTCCAACACATTTCCCCCCTCCCTTGATACACCAAATGATTGACTCCACCCGGCCACCTGAAACCATAACAAATTTTTTATCAGTAAGTCTAGACCTGAAACCATAACAAATTTTTGATCAGTAAGTCTAGAAATACAAAAACTAGACACAGAAAATACATGGATGGACGAACGGGATTTTGTAAGATTTGTCAATACATCTTCTATGTCTGATTTTGCGTTTGGTTTATGTGTTTTTTCTAGAGTTATTGTTGTTGGTTTTGTTTTTTCGGTTGAAGAAATTACACATGGACAGCAAGGGATAACATAATATTACATCTTCTC